GTTCGATGTTTCGCGGTCTCGCTGTCGTACCACTTGACGCGCTCGACCACGGACGGCCGATTGCCGCCGAGCTCACGCTCCGAGACGAAGACGGGTACCTCTCGCCGCGACCCCGGGGCACACTCAACATCACGGTTCAATGGATTGCGTATCGCTTTCCGCGCTCTCTTCGGTCCGTCATGCTTGCGACCTGGGCCATCGCGCGTCTTGGCCGGTTGCTCACGATCACATACTCGAAGCGCGTCGTCGTGGCCAAGCCCAAGCCGCCTCTCTCGGACGAGCTTCAAATGCTCTTGGAGCTTGTCGACTCGACGTTTCACACAGCGCTCGTCAAGCTCGCCGATGTGATTGTCATGGCGGACCAGCTTCAGCGGCTCAAGCAGCGTCTCTCGGACGCGCAGAAAGGCCAAGCGACCGCCGACGAAGAAAAGCACATTGAACTGCGTCTTCAAGCGGTCATGCGCGACCAGTTTGGTCCGAAGCGACGCAAGCTGCTCGACACCAAAGCCGACCTCGCCAACTGTCTCAAGAGCTTTGCCAAGCTCACGGCGAGCACGAGTCCGCGTCGCATACTTCGTCTTGTATCTCACATATCGGATGCCGTAGTTGCCGAGTACATTGCCAGTGTCAACTCGAGCGTCTCCGAGCGCGTTGGGCTGTGGCTCGATGAGCTCGGACTCCATAATGCCAAGCACGCTCGGCTCTCGTCGTGGCAAGCAACGCCATGCGAGGCGCCAGCGCAACCCATCACATTCGATGCCATCATGACCTTTGTCCTGGACGAGAAGCATACCTTTGTCGTCTGGGAGGCCGCGGTGAAGGGCCTCGTCGCGGAAGCGTTCACGGGCGGCGCCTGGTCGTTTGACATGACCAAGGAGCTCGCCGTGTGTCGCAAGATCGAAGACACGCTCCTCGAGACACAAGGCGAGACGCGGAGGAGCGATGCGTCGTCGTCCGAGGACCCGGTACAGCGGGAAAAGCTCGACGCGCGCAAGGCCAAACGACTGCAAAAGCTTTCGAAAAAGGCCGCGCCGCGACAGTAGATACATACAAACACCCAAGTTACTTCCTATCGGTGTTGACTGCTTACAAGTTGCTTTGCGTCGGCTCGTCGGCGTCATAGACAACCCCGAGCGACTTGCGCACCTGGTCCATCACCCGCGACAGGAGCAGCGACTCGGCGAGCGGATACTCGGCGCACTCGCGCTCGCCGTTTTGGATGCAGCGCGAGACGGCCTCGGCTTCAAATTTAAAGCCAACTGAGCCGCCAAAGTTGAAGCTGCTCTTGGACGGCGCGGGGGTCGGGTGCGGAAACGAAAGCTGCTGCGGCGCCTGACCGTGCAGTGTCAGCGTCAGCTCGTCGGCCACGTGCGCAGGCGCGTTGATGCGCAAAGTGCCCTTCTCGCCAATGATGACGACTTCCTCGACAAAATCGGCGAGGCACGAGTACTGGATCGTGCCAAAGCGACTGCCCTCGTACTGCAGCGTCACAACTGCGTACGTGTCGACGCCTTCGTCCGCCGACACTGCGCCGACCGTGTGCACGTGCGCCGGCTCTTCGCCATGGAACACCATCGACACGAACGCGAGCGGGTAGATGCCGATGTCGAGGAGGCCGCCGCCGCCGAGCGACCGCTTCCAGATGCGGTCGGCGTTGGCAGGGAACGCGAAGCCCATGTCGGCCTTGACCGCGTGCACGGCGCCAAGCACGTTCTCGGACAAGAGCTGGCGCGCATGACGCACGGCCGGGAAGAAGCGCGTCCACATGGCTACACACAGCTTCTAGATGATGCGTGGCGATACAGTCGTACCTTCCATGAGGAAGAGATCCTTCTCCTTGGCGAGCGCGACCATCTCGTCGGCCTCGCGCTGGTTCATCGACATGGGTTTCTCGACGAGCACGTGCTTGTTGTGGCGCAAGGCGAGGAGCGTGTGCGGATGGTGGAGCGTGTGCAGTGTGCCGACGTAGATGACGTCGACCTGCGGGTCTGCGCACAGCGCGTCGTACGAATCGTAGCTCGTCGGAATGTCTACGTCCAGCCATCGCATCAAGGGTGCTCGGAGGTTGGCCTACCGTGCGTGGCGGCAAAGGCTTGGGCCGTCGCGAGGCTGCGAGAGGCGCAGGCGACGACGCTGGCGCCGGCCACGAGCTGCAGGCCCATGACAAAGTCGTTGCAGATGCGGCCGCAGCCCAAGATGCCCCAGCGCGTGGTTTTCGTCGACGTCATTTCAATCCGATTGACAAATGGCCACGTACCACAGTCCAACGTACGTTGGAAAGGGTCCCCCACCGGGTCCCACACGATCGTCACACATCATTTATTCGTGCACCTCCCCCTACATATTCCACCGCATCCTACCACGCCGACGGGACGGAGCATCACTGCAGAACCTGCAAAAGAAGCGTACGCATGCATTTGCAAAGTGCATTAATTTGCTTTTTGTAGTCTTCGGAGTGTGGTGCTGCGTGCCAGCACCGTCAAATAATGACTTCAGCCACCAATACCGTACCCATTCAACGTTTATAGGTGACCCTATGTATGATAATGAGCAGAAGATATACCAGCTCGGCTGGCGCAATGGATAGCGTATCAGACTTCGAATCTGGGGGTTGCGGGTTCGAGTCCCGCGTCGAGTACTTTTTTGCAAAATATTCTGGGATATGTAGCATGTCAAACTGGTAAACTTTCCACCGCACTAGTGCGCAACAACTATTCATGTTGTCGCCTTTTCGATAGGTCCGCTGGCTTACATTCTACCCACGGCTCAAGACATGCCCTCGCTTCTTCTACCCATGAGTAGCCCACAGAATTGATCGACGAGGGGCATTCCGCATCTTCGCACAAGCTGATCAAGCTAGCGACAAAGCATGGATGGCGAGTGATTGGATGGCGAGTGATTGCCTAGCAACGAACATTTCAAGAAAGCACGTAATTTTTTTTCAGAGTCAAGTAACGAGGTAGAGAAGCCCAAGCATGGCCGCCCACCCGCGATCCCTCCGACGGCCGCACCAACAAAAACGCCCAGCATGGACCCCACGAGGAACGGCCACATCGGGTCGTTGTCGAGTTCGGCAAGGCCGACCGTCGCTTCGTACGTCTGACAGTGGATCTCGGGCCACTCGATGGCGCCATTCATGCGCACAGCGTCCACAAGATTGTCGACGTAATGTGCGTAGTTGGAATTGAGCATGCCGTTGGCATTCACAATGCCGAGTCGAACGGCCTCCGGATCCGCAAGAATCAATTGCCGAAGCACTTTGTGCATGTCGAGCAAATACGGCTGAGCAGCTTCAGCCACGCGAGCACACTGCGTCAAGAGCTCCCGCGAAAGGCAGACGTCGTCGACGTTGGCGATACGCGTCGCTGTGAGGAGACCGTAGCTGCAGTTGGCCACCGGTTTGTCGAGTTGGATAGCCTCCCAGAGCTTGGCACGGAAGAGCGTCTGCAATTGAACTTGGCCTTGCTTCACCATATAGTCGAGATATGAGTCAACACTGCGGGGTATAGAGCTGATCATGTCGGCGATCGCAGCGTTGGCCTGCATGCACTCGGTCTGTGTCTCGACGTCATTGCAGTAGCTCTGCGGCAGCCTCATGGCGTACGCACTCGGGCTGCACGGGGGATCGGGGCAGTATTTGGGGCAAAAACAGCGCGCGACCACGCTGACCGACAGCATGGCGAGGACAAGAAAACTCAGGGCGCCCATTCGTGTGGCTCGTGTCTGCAAGCAAAATGTGGTAGTGTACCAGCTACCGGTAATTAAGAGGCAACGATAATCCAGGCAACGATTGGTCAACAGTTGCGGTTGAGGGGTCCAGAACGATATATATTTCGTACATCGATGGACAGGACTGTTGCTTCAATCTATTTTCGCCCCTTTCTATCAAATGCCACGAAAAAATGCCAAAACGGCTCTTGCGAGAAGAGCTCAGTGTGAGCTTCTGCAATACATGTGAACAACGCAACGAGGGAAGAGACATCCCCCACAAAGCTGGCGGTTGAATTGTGGTGCGTCGAGAAAGCAGGATCAAATCGAAGGCAAGCGTTGCGGGTCGAGCACGATGGGCTGCGCCGAACGATTGACGACGACGAGGACGATGCTATTTGTAAAGACTATGTTTGTACTAGTCGTATACTAGTAGCTGTTTACAATGACTCGAATGATCAAGCACCCCCAGCCTCGAGCACCCCCAGCACGACCGCAACCATCAACACCAAACGCGGCATCGAGCGCGACGCGGCGTTGGTGACAATCTCGGCCAGAGCCTCGTACGAGCGGCAGCGAACCTTGATGTCGGCTCGCTTGATGGAGCCGCGCATGCGGACGACGTCGACAAACTCTGCGGCCAGAGGCGAGAGCGTCCCGTTCATATCGACGAGGCCGAGACGCACTGCGTCTTCGTCGATGCGGATGCCTTGGCGCAGAGCGTTGTGGATGTTGAGAAAGTACGGCTCGGCCGCCTTGGCGACATTCGCGCACTGCTGAAAAAGCTCTGGCGAGAAGCACACGTCGTCGACGTTGGCGAGGAGCGTCGCGGTCGCAAGACCATAGTTGCAGTCTCCGATCGGCTTGTTGGCTTCCATCGCTTCCGAGAGCTTGCTGCGGAGAAGCGCAAACTCAATCGGGCGGGCCATCGCGCTGCGCTGCGCTGTTGTGTAGAAGTACAAGTCAGCGTTGCGCCCCATCGAGTCGATCATGTCGGTGATCGCGACGTTCGCTAGAGTGCACTCGGCTTGCGCCTCGACGTCGTTACAGTACGAGCGCGGCTGCCACCAGCTCGAGTACTTGGGGTTGCACGGCGGATTCTGGCAGTATTTGGGGCAAAAGCAGCGCGCCTCTGCGAGCGCCAGCACCGCCAACAGCACTTGAAGGCAGTGCATGGTTGACATGCTGCGAGACGAGCTCTTTCTGGCGTCGTAGAGACCTTGGTCGTGTGACGCAGCTGCCGGCAACGTGCTGCAGAGTTGTGCTGCTGGGTTGTCAGCCAATTTTTTGCATCAGGCATTCTCATTGGCCAATTTCTACCAATCACATTGCAAGATCGTCAGGCTCAAGATCGGGTCCCGGTCTAGAGCACCATTCGAGCCCATTCGACAACTTGTTGCTGCAGCGAAAAGTGAAGCCCAACTACAGTATACATGATGGACCTCGGAGCGTCCAGAATACGTCACTTGACCCGAATGCATCGCACTGTCGTTTGTAGCTACTAGATCACTGGACCTTGCTATGGACACGACGCAAGAGAGGCAACGGCCTGTGCGATTGCGACGCGCTGCAAGCGAATCAAAGCGCCGCTAGTCCACGTCAAGTCTCTCGAATGGAATGACGACAGGCTGCCACGTATACGTTGCAAAACAAATAGTCGATGCTTAGTCCTCTCCGGCGCTCGACTCGTCGTCATCGACCACGAGCAGTCGCGATCGCTTGGACGCAGAGGCTGGCGGCAAAATGTCGTCGTCTTCATCGTCGTCGTCTTCGTCGTCGTCCAGCATGCGTAGGCGCGGGCGTTTCCGGCTCGTTGTTTGCACAATCTCTTCGTCCTCGTCCGCGTCGTCATCCTCGTCATAATCTTCGCGAAGATCCGCAGCGCGGGACGCAGGTTCGTCCACCTCGTCGTCCGAGATATAGTTGTCGCTGACGATGAACGAGTCGTCGCTCTCATGGCCATAGCCTTCGTCGTCGTCACTCACATAGTCGCGGCGCGTGCTGGCGCGCTGCCGCGACCGGTCCGTGGCTTCTTGCAGCAAGCCCGAGACGGCCGCGCGGCGCACTGGCGACCGTATTCTGTACCCGTCGTTGACACCGTCGCGAACCAGTGTCTCGATCTCGATAAAGACATTCGAGGCGAGGTCCCGAAAACAAAAGGTGTACATCCCTACATCACTACTGTATACACGCGTCTCGCGCGGCGGATTACCTTCGGGGACATCAAGGCGGAGCGCTTCAAAGGACACCGAGCCTGCTTGACAGCGCGCTGTACGCTCCAGCACAATGTGACGCTACGCAAGCATCGCACTGCATCCTTCCATGCACTCGGATGGTATACCGTCTCGTCCCGGACCGTGAGCGTGACCTCGCTGTAGTGGTTGGCGACAACGAGGTTGTCGTCTTCGCCCGACTCGGCCATAAAGGTAGGAAATCCCTCCGTGATCTCCTCGTCCTAATGCAAGACTCGCATGCCACGCAGCAAGCATGGGGACGTACTTCTTCCATCTGCAGAATGACAAGCGTGCATGCTTGATGCTCCGTGTACGCCTCCAGCACGCTGGGAAAGTCCATGATACCAAAGGCCATCCTATCGAGGAGAGCCGTGAGCGCACGCGGTCGCCCGCATCCAAACCGCATCGCACGGTAGCCGTCGACGTTCTCGTCGTCTTCGTCGACAATGACATTCCGGACGATATGGAGCTCCTCAGCATGGACACGGTCGACTCGAATCTGATGCGGGTTGTCGTCGTCGTCGCCATGCTGATCGTCGGCGTCCGAGAAGGCTTCGTCGTCAAAGGACGCGTCGCCGTCATCGACGGGGCGGGGTGCACCCGCTGCGTTCTGCAGGTCGCGAACGCGCTGCCGGACTTCGTACTTGGACTTGGCGAGCTGGTACGCGCTCTCTTCTTCGTCGTCGTCGCGCTCGTTTGGGTAGAAGAGGCGCACGACGTTCCAGAGCGTGACGTTGATGTTGAGCTTCTCAAAGCAGATGCAGATCGGGTCGCGGCAGATCGGGCACAAGCACTCGGTCGGGTTGCCGTCTTGGGCGTCGCACGACTTGATGAGGCAGAGCCGGCTAGCGCATGATCATCATGCAGGCGATGGAAGAGCAGCGTCGTACCAGTAGGTGTGGCCGCAGGACGCCGAGACCGGCTACGCCCACGACAGAGCTCATGCATCCGACGAGGCCTTCATGGGATGTACCTTGTAGAGGTGCTCATGGCAGATGATGCACTGCAGCTCGTCCATGAGCTTGGCCCGGACCTCGTCCATCTTGCTGCGATCTCCACGGGATCTTTGGCAACTAATGCGAAACCTCCATATTCATATGTAATCCGACAGGACATTTTATTATAGAGGTTTAATTTAACCCATCAAGTTATATAGGTCGCCACCATGCATGACGACAAATGAAGCGCAGGCTCTGCGGCGCATCGGCGACACCAGCCACGCGTTGACCTTGCGTAGGCAGAGAGCGACACTTCTGTGCGTGGTACGATAGCCTATCTGTTGCCTTCAACGTCAAGACCATTCTCTCGCATCTTATCTTCTCGAAACGTCGATTGAACCCACTTTAGCGTGTTCTTTAACGTGAATCAGGGACTTTAGCGCGTATTTTCACATGTCGGCGCTGCGGAGAGAGGTGCTACAGGTCTACCGCCACTGCTTGCAGTCGGCAGCGCGTTGCCCCGAGCAGACGCACCGCGCGACGATGCGAGCGTACGTGCAGATGAAGTTCCGCGACAAGGCCCACGTCCGCGACGCCAAGGCCATTGCGCTCCTCCTCTCGGATGCCAAGGAAGAGCTCGAGCGTATGAACTACTACCACTCCATGTACAAGTCGGGCCAGACGCAAAAGGCAACGCATGGCGCGACGGCGCAGCTCGCGTCCAATTGCCCCAACTGCAACCACGCCTTTGCGACGCCGACCGCGCGCTTCTGCAGCGAGTGTGGCGTTCAGCGCCCGACCATTGCTTAATCGCTATGCAATCGACAACATGAAGATGCACAAGTCTATTCAGCCTCATGTCTTGTGACCGAAGCATCTGGTATGCATCGAGCAGCGAGCCTCTTGCTGGATCGCCGAGAGGAGTACGCTTTGACTCGAGCTATCATTGGAGGTGGCCAAGGAGGCCGCAGCCTTTGTCCGCGCCGAGCGTCGAGCGCACCGCTGGCGATTGCAACTCGACGGCAGACGCACAGGCGAGGGATGAGTGGACTCTGCTGCGTGTGGATCGCTACCCTGCGCTGTTGCAGGGCGCCTAGTTGACGCTTCCATCGGTCCGATTCGACTGTGGACAGGGGTAGGTCGGTCAGGAGGCGCTACAGCTGGTCGTACAGGGGAGACACCACAGCGCATACTTGTACGAGGAAGGATCGACGACAAGGTGCAGACGATGGCGCTTCTTAATCTACTTTATACACTCAAACTTCTTTAGCCGACGAGGCTGCCGCGTCTCGTGGCTCGCAGCAGCGCCTTGACCTCCATGCTCGCGCCCGTAAAGAGGTCGTAGAAGCGGAAGGCGTACTCGCCTACAATGCAGATCGAGAGCAGCCCCACGGACCGTGGTGTACATACCAGACGGGCCGTCCACGTACAGATTCGGGAAGGTCACGCGACCATCGACGGGCAGCGATGTGCGTTCGAGCACGATTTCGTCCTAGTTACCAGCCAGCATGAGCGCGCGAAACACGATGCATGCAGTCGACGTACGCAACGGTTGAGCACGGTCAGCGTCATCAAGCTCGGGTGCGGGCTTCGGCGTTGCACCCATCCTTCGTGCAGCTCTGAGACGACCACGGGAAACTCGTTCTCGTCCTAGAACCATCATCAGCATCAGCATCCACCGCCCAGCGACACGTCACGGTGGCACAGCGTACCACAGCGGTCGAGTGCAGCATCGCGATGGTGCACTCTTGCTCCAAGCAGTGGGTCTGTAGACAGCCAGGGAACCTCACGATACCGAGCGCAATGCTAGACAGCGTGAGCGCGCGCCACGTCATAAAAAGGCGTCTACCTCGAGCGGCCGTCCGGCGACACAATGCCCCGGACGATGCTGCGTGCTTCGCCGTCGATCACGTACGTGTCCGACTCGACGTCGTCGTCGTAGGCGTCGTCGTAGCCATTGTCGCCCTCTTCGTCGTCGTCGTCGTCGTACTCGTCATCGTCGTTGGGCGTCTCGGCCGAGTCGCTGAGTCGGCTTTGCCTCTCGGCAGCGGTGTTGCCGCCGAGCTTTTCGCAGTCGGCGACCGCACGCTGGAAGTTGGCCTCTTCGACGCGCTCGCACAGCGTCGATGGGCACACGAGCCGGACAACGTTCCAGAGCGCGACGTTGACGCTGAGCTTGGAGATCTCAAATCCGATCGACTCGCGGCAGATGGGGCAGATGCAGCTGGAGAAGGTCTCGTCCTGGCCCGTGCACGCGTCGATCAAGCAGAGCCGACTAGATGGACGAGATGCAGCAGCCGTGAGGAGGAGAGATGAGGAGGAGGATCGGCGCACCAGTACGAGTGGCCACACGTGAGCGTCGCCGGCTAGCGCATCCTGTGAGCATCATCCGCACCATGCCTCATGCAGTCTACCTTGAAGAGCTGGTGGAGGCAGATGGCGCATTGGAGCTCGTCCACGAGCTGCTGCGCGTCGAGCATGCTAGCAAAAAGTCGGTGGCCCGGATATCCGCAACCGGACAAGAAGATACAAACGCCAAGTATAGGACAGGCGGTGAGTAATTCGCGCGTCCGTACCGTAGGGCCGACGGCGGCGCCATGGCGTGCTGCCAGCGAAACTTGAAGGTACACCTTTCGACCACTTCAACATGCAGGTGTCCACGCCGCCGCCGACTCTGTTCCCGACCGACGCCGCGAGTCGAGTCCTCTTCATCGCCAACCACTTGAGCTCAACAAGCGCACTTTCTTGAAGCGCGAAAAAAGCAAGCGAAAAGACCGGCGAGTTCTCGTGGTCGGTGCGGTGCCAAGCACGCGACGCCCACGTCATGCGAGTCTGTCTCTGGCAACGTTCGATGCGGCTTCCCACGCGCAATCCCCACAAGCTACTACTTGCGACCGCCTCAATGTTCCCAGGCACACGAACGCTCCGCCTGCCTCTTCGTACAGTACATTATTTCAACATGGCGCCCTTTCTTTTTACCGTCGGTCGTTGGTATTAACGTGATGACGATCCTCGTTGCGCCGTCTTTGATGTACAAGGCGCGCATACCGGTGTCCGTGTCGCCGCCTTGGTACACGGGCAGGATGGCTGCGCCGAGGCCTGCGGTGTCGCGGCGCAGTACACTGTACACACGCCACGTCGTGCTTGTTCCGCGGTAATCAGTGTGTGGATCACGTGGGTACCAACGACGCTTCGTCAGGAACCAGAGCTCGTTGGATGCGGCTTGGACAGGTATCCATCACGCCGGCGCTTCAGTACATTGTATTACAAGTACGCTCGTCATCGACAAGTGCAAATTCAACACCAAGCAAAAGTAGAAACGTTGAGATCTGAGTTTTCTCTTTTTATTCTGTCGTACACAGGAGCGCGACGCCGCGAAGGATCCAGTGCAGCGGGCGGTGCTCGCGCGACGGCAGCGTGACGCTAAAGATGAGGTTGCGGTCGTTCCGTGACGGGTACTTGTACACGGGGCACTCAAAGCCGCCGTACGGGCCATAGTCGCCGGATCGACTTTTCTTCTGGGCTTTGGTCGTCGCCGTCACAAAGAGGACGGGGAGAGCCGCAAAAAGCCGCTTGGGCTCTGACTCGACAAGTGTCGCATTGCCCTTGTGCCATCCCGCGCCCTCGAGCGCGAGACCGTGGATGAGAACGCCTTCTTTCGGCGCCTGCCGGATCTGCTCGAGCTTCTCATATTCGGTGACTTCCGTGTGGTAGACCACGTCGTCGAGCGCCCACTTGTCGTTGACGTGGTGCCGCGTCACCTCTTGGCGCATGGCCGTGAGGAACCCTTGGGGATTAAAAAAGCCCGTAAGCCAAAACGTGTTGGGCTTTGTCTTCTCGACCCAGTGCTCGAGCTGCTTGTGGCGTTCGAGCAAGCCCGCAAACCAGAGACCGAGCGACGGCGCGACCCAGCTGAGCTCCTCCATGCCGCGGTGCAGCCACAAGGGCGGCACTTTGGCGTCAAAGATGGCGTGGATCGTGTTGGCAATGTCGGGTGTCACGACCACCTCGCCCTTGATCGCGCCTTGCGTCTCGCTGAGCACCTTGCGCACGATGCTCAGGAGCGTCTGGAGCCGCTGGATCTCTTGCCACACAAAGACGTTCATGGGCACGCCAAAGCCGCCGTGCTTGTTGGTCAGTAGCTCGAGGCAGGTTTCGTCGATGAAATCCTTGGGTAATTTGTCCTTGAGCTCGTCGCACTTGTCCAAAACGACATCTTCGCGGGTCCGCCCGTTCTTGCTGCTCTGCGTCTTGGGCTGCGTCTCGCTGAGCGTCGCGAGGAGGTTCGTCACCTCTTTGACGCGGAAGGTCAAGTCAGCGTTCGGGTGCAAGCCAAAAATCTCGGGCGAGTCGACTTTCGGGAAGCTATTGAGCACGCGATGGTACTCGTCGAGCTCATTGCTCTCGGGCACGGCGTACACAAAGTCGTTGGGAATGTGCCCCACGAGCGTCTCGGGGTTGAACGAGAAGCTCGGCGCGAGCGTCGAGCTATGCAGCCACTCGTCGCAGTAGCTCTTGAAGAGGCGGCGGTCCATGTCGTCGGTGATGCGCCCGCCGTAATGCACTTCGGCAATCATGTACTGGATCGTTGGCCACGACAACGTCGCGCTCGAGTACAAGTGCTTCTCCAGAAACGTCATCGACGCGGTCAAGTCGCTCGCGTTAAACTCGTACGGGATCGCAAACCCAAGCGGTCCAAACTTGCGCCGCTCCTGGACAATCGAGTGCAGAAAGCAGAGCGTGAAGAGAAGCGCGCGCCACTGCGCTGTCTCGATGCGCTCGAGCTTGTCCTGGTCGATCACGACCGTGTACGACCGGAGCATGCCGGCGCGAAGGCCGGACGGCGGCTCGTTGGTCACTTTGATGGCCTTTTGCAGCAGCGCAATCGAAAAAGCGGATGCGGCTCGGACGTCAAGAAGAGCCGAAAGTCACAGCTCATCGTCTCCTTATTCTTGACGAGCGTGTCGGGAATCGACTCCATGAACGCGAGGCCCAAGTGGCAGTTTTGGAGGAGGACCCACGACCCGTTGAGCATGCCGTTGGCCATGGCTCGGGACGCATGCTTTCCTGGCCCTCGCCCATCGAGATGCACTGGATCGTTTGCCGCTTCTTGCGCGCCAGCGTCTCGATCGCATCCGTCGGGTCGGCGCCCAGACTCAAGAGGTAAAGGACCGGAATGTCGGCGGCCATTTCTGCCCAAATGCTCTCGACCGTGTCCGTGACGGCCTCGACGTACTTGGGGCCCATGCACGGCAGCTTGGTGATCGCACCCGACTCTTTCGTCTTGATATCAATATGCTCGACGAGCTTGATGAATTCGAGCGTTGCCAAGATCGTGCGGTCTTCGCGGAGACACCGCAGTAGCAAGAGGCGGTAAAAGTGCGTCGTGGCGTCGGCGCTGTGCGGGTGGAAGAGCACTGTCTCGTACTCGGGTACGGCGGCCACCTCGGGCGCGTTCTCTTCGTACCACCGGCGCCACGCGGCTTCCGAGCGCTCAATGTCAGCGACCAAGTTGCGAAACACGGGCTTTTCGTGGCTGAGCTGGAGCACGTTGAGCCACGCGGGTGTCGACATCCACTGGAACGGCTTGGCCTTCTCGCTCGTTCGCGTCGCGCCGGCCTTGACAAAGAGAGAGACGTCACTTGCGTCCAGCACGTCGGCGGCGACAAAGATCTTGAAGGTGACCATGAGCAGAAACGCGAGCTTGTCCTTCTCGTAGATGCCGCGGTTCATGAAGCGGTAGACGAGATACGTCATGGCGTCGACGATGTGTGCGACGCGCTTCGAGGTGAGCGTCGCGCGCTCGGCCACGTCCATCGCCTTTTTGAAGAGCACGAGAAACTGGTCCAGCGACGTCTGGTACATGCAGTTGACGAGCGAGAGGTCCACGAGGCTAAAGTACAAGACGCTGCCCCGGGTTGCCACCGGTCGGTACTGTTCGCGCTTCTCGTCAATGCCGAGCTTCATGTCGGCGGCCGCGAGGAGCTTGTCGTTGACTTCGGTGGCTTTGGCCTTTGTGGACGCGAGGACGCTAATGAGCTCGAGGTCGTCGAGGAGATTGCCGCTGTTGGACGCGAGCCGCTCGAGCAAGAGCGCGTCGAGACTCAGAAGAGCCTTGGTGTTGCTGTTGACGTCGAACTGCACGCGCGTGAGCTGCTCCTCGAGCGACTTTTGCTCGGTTTGAATGACTTTGGCGAGCAGCTGGTCCTCGAGGCCGTCTTGCGTGACGGTAAAGTCCACCAGCATCGTCTTGGCCTGCACTTCGGGTGAAAAGTGCGGGTTCGGCAGTCGCGTCGTCATGTACAGCAAGAAAGCGTCGTTGTACTCGCAGAGCTTGTCGCCGACGAGAATGTACTTGGACTTGGCTTTCACAATGACGTTCTTCTCCAAGACTGCGTTCATGGCGGGGTCCATGTCCTGCTCGACACCTCCAGCACAAGCACCTTGCCTTCCGTGACGCTAAACTCGAGGTGGTCGCGCAGCTTGGGATGGTTGATCGAGACGAGCCCGACGGATGGGAGTCGACCAGCCTCGCGCATGAGGATCCAGTTCAATCCTTGTCCTTGCGGGTCAATGAGGAGCGGGTACTTGCTGCTCATTGTGACGAGAATCCCGTTCTGGGTCGAGAGCGGGTCCGCCGGAAGTCCCTCGACGTTCCAATCGGCGATCGTGCCGAGGTCGACAAGGAAGTTGGTCAGCTGCAGGTCGGCTGTCACCGGCACTTGGCGGTCTTTCAGGTCTTTGAGAAACTTGATCTTGCACAAGACGTCTCGGTACTCCTTGTTGAACGGGCCGCAGTAATTGACAAACGCACACGCCACTGCACAGTCGCCGACGAGGCGCGCCTTGCGGTCGGCGAACCGGTTGCTTTCATCTGTCCAGCGCTTCTTCTCGCCCGCGAGGCCCTGGATGAGCGCGGTCGCTTGCTCCATCTTCTTGCGCGTCGCGAGCGCGTTCTCTTCGACTTTGGCCTTCTCGGCCATTTGCAGCTCAAAGTCGTCTTGCAGCGACTGGAGGACACTCTGGCACGCAATCAGCTTTTCTTGCGCGTGACGCAAGTCGGCCTGCGCGGCTTCGAGGCGGCCTTCGGCGACCCGAAGCGTCTCGAGCTTGGGTTTCACCACCTTGGACGCGTGGTGGTACTTGGTCATGGCAATCACCCACGTGCAGAGTCCTTCGGCGGCTTTGGACGCGTTTTTCGCCGCGGCGGGGCTAAACCCCTCGAGGTCCAAGTACGGTTGGAGGAGCTCGATCGTCTCGTCGTTGATGTTGTCCTTCTCAAACTTTGAAAAGTGAAACACGTTTTGCAGAAACCGCGTGTCGCTGAGCATGCCCTGCTTGACGCTCGCGTACGAGTCGAGAATAAAGTCGACGCTCTTCTTGTTGAGCGTGACTTGGGCTTTCTCGACTTTGGCGAGCGGGTACATTTGTAGAAGCGCGACGCCGTCGAAAATGAGCTTGATAATGTCGCCTGGCTTGGCGAGCTTCTTGAGCTCGTTGAGGTCGTTGGGCTTGATGCTCGAGACGGCCCGCTCGGCCTCGTCCAAAAACGGCTGCGCTTTCGCCAAGTCCTCTTCCGCGTCTTCCTTCTCGCGCTGGATCACGGCCGCGTCCCGTTCACAGCGTTCTTTGATTTTCCCGACGATATCGTTCTCCTTCTTGGCCTCCATCGACTTGACTTGAAGGTTCTCGAGCATCGCGTTCGCCGCGTGCTCGGCCATGATGAGCTTGGCTTCCTCTGTCTTGAGGACGCCCTTCATTTTCTCAACATCGGCCGCGCCTTGCACGAGCTTTTGAAGCCCGAGGTTGACGCTGCTCTCGCTGCGGTGGATCTCGCGGATCTTGGTGGCATACAGCTGCTTGTAAAAGTCGAGGAACGCCAAGTACGATTTCGGCGTCTGGTACACATGGCGCCGGCGCTTCTCGAAATACTCGGCGCAGACGTCGATCACGGCGTCGTGGAGCCAGCCCATGTGCGCAATGAGCTGGTCCTTGACGGCTGGCGCGCACTCGATGCTAAAATCGTCGAGAAACCCTTTGCTCACCGCGACAAGCGCCTCGGCGGGCCATGCGAGGTACCAATCGAGCGTGCAGCCCGACACGAGCGCTGGAAACTTGCGGCAGCGGTCGGCAAACCGCCGGTCCACGGGCGACATGGAGAGCACGACGTGCAGATTCGTCTTGACGCGCTCGTAAAAGAACTTGACGAGGTGCTCGTACGTGTCGGGCGTCGACGGATGCGCCTTAAGCATGGCCGGCGCAGGTCCGAGACCAGGAAATTCATTTCGTCTTTTGGAAACAAATTTGGGATTTCGCCCGTCGCCAAGACGCCGTTGAGAATTTCAAGGAACGAGTCGTCCTTGAGCTCATTGTCTGTGCAGAGGAAGACGACGCCCTTGTTTTGCTGCCCTGTCCACTTGAAGAGCTGGCGCCAATCTTCCAGAAACGACGATGTGTTGTACGCCTTGGTGAGCGTGATCTGAAAGAGCTGGAGGCGCGCGAGGACGGACGCAAGTTTGGTGAGCGACTGCTTGCCCGAGCCGCCGACACCCACGAGCATCATGTGGCTCTTGGGCAACCCGAGCGCGCGCACGACGCGGAGGACGTGGAAGAGCGCGTCGTCAAAGAGGATGAGGGCCATTTTCTTGGATGGGTTGTCTCGGTTGAACGCCTCGAGGAGGCTCTCCATGCGCGCGCGCACCGTGAGAATCGACATGACGTTTTCGTAGAGCTTGGGCGCCTCTTCGAGCAGGAGCCCGTCTTCGTCGCGCTTGTCGTCGCGCATAAAGTCGACAAAGAGCGCGGGGGCGTTCGGCAGCTCGGTTAGAGACGCGTCCTTGCTGACCTTTTCTTTGCCCGTGGCGACGACGGGCTTGAGCAAGAGGTTCTCGGACGTCGCGTTGAGCTCGTCGCGGAACTTGGCCTTGTCGTCGAGCGTCGTGAGGCGGTCGCAGAAGAGCCGGTCGCACTCGTGCCGCCAGAGTTTCACGAGGTACTTGTCCGTCGTGACCATCTCGAAGCCGCGCAAGAGGCCCTGGAAGACGCGTGCGAGGTCCCGCATCGTAAAGATATAGTGGAATTTCTGCGGCGTCGGCAGCAGCGTTTTGCGCATGAAGCTCCAGACGTGGATCGTCGTGTTGGTGAGCTTGGACGCGACGTCGATGATGGGCTTGTCCTTCTTGGCGTCCAAGAACGAGACGCGCCACTTGACGATTTGCCCGAAAATCGCATCAATCACATCGAGCGACGGCACGAGGAGGTTGAAGGCGAAGAAATGGCGCTTGAGGCGGTTCGGAATGTCGTTCTTCCCGTCTTTGGCGTGCGGCATCGCCGCCACGTAGTAGAGGTCTTCAATGACCTTGACGTCGCCGCGCTTGTCCTTATCGAGGAAGCAAAGCCCGGACGTCTCCATGAGCTGGCGCACGACCTCGAGGGTGGGCTGGTCACCCCATGCATTGCACGCAGGCATCGAAATGTCGTCGAGAAAGAGTGTCATCTTGCGGCCGTGGCTTGGGCCAAAGTTCTTGCCACCACGCTTGTCCAAGTCCGCCTCCAACGTTTGCTGGAACCCGCCGGGCGAGCTCACGCTCGAGAAAATGATCTTTTTCACGATCGATGTGTCCGCGTCGAGCGTCTCAAAGTACATTTGGGCGGCCGACGTCTTGCCCGTGCCGCTGCCACCGACGAGCAGCACGGGGCGCTTGGCGTTGATTTGTTGCAGCAAGTACAAGCAGCGCGTCGTCTCGACCGTCGGGATGACGAGGCTGGAAATGTCGAGATCGATAAGCGACGAAGGGGCGTCCCACGGCTCGAGGTTCCAGCGCTCCCACTCGAGCGACGTTGGGTTGACGACATGGTCAAATACTGATGTCTTGGCTTGCTTGGGAAAGAAATGCTTGGTGAGCTCGGCGAGGTAGTCGCTGAGCCGTTGTCGGTCGTCTTGCTCGTACAAGCCGCCGACTGCCCACGCGAGCGAGAAGAGAAAGAGCCGCTCGAGCTCGATTTCGACTTCGGCCGACTCGCTGAGCTCGGCCGACGCGATCACACTCGCTAGCAAATGGAGGCACGACTCGACCATGGCGCCGCGCGAGACGTGCAGCACGGGCTTGCAGCTTTTGCTCAAAAACTTGAAGAGGTGACCAGGGGAGCTGCCGCACGACTCGCCCATAAACTTGAGAAAAAGGCCGCGCAGCACAGGTCGTTGGCTATCGGGGCGCGTCTGCAGCCAACCTTCGACGAGCGGGGACCACCCGAGGTCCGTCTCGCTCACGTAGATGATGCCTGCGCGGCTCACCGTCGCGGGCGAAGCGTTGCGTAGGTCTTCGACTTCAAACATGAGCTTGCAATTGTCGGTCATTGGAATGCGATCGCCGTTCGCGAGCGTCAATAGCTTGTTGTCGTCGAGCACAGTGTTGAGATTTTCAATCCAAATCGCGTCGACGGGCCCGTCGCAGACGATCCACGACACATCCCGACGCGATCGGTCGTTGTATTTGGACCACATGGAGGCAAACACGCCGTCGAGCCACTCGCCGCTGAGCTTGTCCGTCTCGCCAAACATCTCTTCGGCGCGAATGGCCTTGGGGTTCATGCGCACTTGGCGGTGAAGCGTCTTCGTATGCAGTGCGAGCGCCGACTGGAGAACCTTAAACATCTCACTTTTCCCCGTCCCCGCGGGCCCGACCACCATGATGCCGTGCCGCACAAGCGTTGTGTCGTAGAGCTGCGCGACCTTGAGCGTCCACGGCGGATGCGGCACCTTGTTGGCTTTCTCCAGCACTTGGACGACGAGCTGGGCGACTGGGCCTTGCGCACTTCCGCTCGCCGGCGTCTCGACGGATGGGAAGATATCTCTGAGGAGCGAAAGGAAGAGCGGCGTGTCCTGGGCCACGAGCTTGGAGACGTTCATGTCCCGCAGCGTCCGCAGCAATAACATTTCTTCGTTCGCGTCCAGATTCGCGCGCTTGGTCTGTCCGGCCGTGCGCAAAACGGACAAAATGTTGCGCAAGCCGAAGTCGTAGTGCTTTTGTTTCGAGAGCTGCTCTTCGCAGAGGCCGTAGAGCGTCTTGAACTTGCGAGCGAGGTCGCCAAAGTTGTCGTAGCCCACCGAGCAGAGCTTGACCTTGATGATAATTTCGCGGTCCGGCACCATCATGGCGACGCCGCGGAAGAGCGCTTTGAGATTCTCGGGCAGTTCTTGTCGGCCTTGGTAGCCCGGGTTCATCGTAATAAAGTACCCGACATCGACGTTGAGCGGAATGACTTGGGTGTCACCAGGGAAGATGAAGCTATTGGCTTGAACGCGTTTGGCGTTCGTGATCGCAAGCACCTGCTGCGCCACCACCGAGAGCACGGGCAGCTCGATCCGGTTGAACTCGTCGAAACAGCCCCAAAAGCCAGCTTGGCAAAGGCCCTTGAAGATCTTGGCCATGTCCAAGAACCGCTGCTGGTCCGTGCAGTTGGTGACAACGACATAGATGCCCAAGGTGCGCCCGAGGTCTTTGACGGTCTCCGTCTTGCCCGTGCCCGCGGGGCCCGTCGGCGACCCCCCGAGATACATCCCGAGCGCCTGCGAGAGCGTAATATAGCACCGATCCGTGAGGGGCGTAATCACGAGGCGCTCCTTGCAGCCGAGGTACTCGTAGGCGTACTTGAAGTCGACGTCGCAGATCGAGATGAGGCACGCGTCCGGGCCAAAGCGGTCGGACGCCGGCGCCACGCGCCAGTAGATCCGCGCCTGCTTGAGCCACTCGAAATCGGTCGCGTCTTGGATTTTCCGGTCTTTAAAGAGCCGACTGAGCTCCGTAAAGCAGTCGCGTTGGTGGACTTGGATCGTAATGAGCGTCTCAATTTTGATCCGGTTGAGTTTCGTGCCGAGGTCCGTGAGGCACCACGAGCTCAATTCGGAGAGCAGCATCGCTTGCTTCTTGCTCGTCTCGCCCATGATGCCCTTCGTCGTCTTGCACCGCGTCAGCGCGTCTTGGCTCTGCGCGGTCCAGAGCACTTGTATGCCGAGGAGGGCAAACTGGCCGCAGCTCTTGTTGACAAACTCCCGCAGCGGCAGAGTCATGCAGTCGGCCGCCGCGTCGCGGCAGAGCGACTTCATGGTCAGAAACATCTCTTTCTCGAGCGCGCCGAGCCAGTCTTCAATGTTGCCGTCGGTCAAGACAGGCTTGAGAAGTGGAATGGTCTCTTCGTCGTTGCCAATGATCGACTTAAGCGCGACGATCTTGCGCGTCTCGATCTTGTCGTGCTGCACGCGGTTGACCGCGTCAAAGATCTTTTCGTAATACTGCTGGACGAGCGCCGGGTCGGACCCCCGCGAGAGCACTTGGAGCAAGAACGGGTTCGAGACAAAGTAAAAGCGCGGGAACTTCATGCGCTTCTGCTCGAGGTACCCTTCGAGCGACTTTTGGCACTTTTCAAGCTCGCCGTACAAGATGGGCAGCGTGCTCTTGAGGGCTTCGTTGGCACAGGACGCGACGACGTTGCTCGTCTCGTTGGCTTTGGTCATGATCTTGATCCAGTCCTTGTCGATCTTGGCAAATTTCTTGGCTTCAATCGGCATCTGCTTGGCAATGTCGCCGCCCGTAAAGACCGACTCGAGCGACATCCAAAGCGTTTGCACCTTGACCCAGAGCTCGAGCACATCGGCGGTCTCGCTCAATTGCGTGAGCTTGGCCTGGACCAGATCTTTGAACGGCACGACGTGGCGCAAGCTGAGCATCCCCTGGAGCTGCAACTGGGCTTCTTCCAGATCTTCGATCACGCCGACAAAGCCTTTGAGCACGGGAATGCCGCGGGATTTCCACTCGCCAAACTCAAACGACGCGGCGGCCCACGCTTCTTTGAGGTCCTTGAGTTTCATTTCGATCTGCAGCTGCTTTTGCGCCGAGTCGCAAATGTACTCGATCTCGTCTTTGGTCGTCAAGAGCTTGGCGTCGAGGAGGTCCTTCAAGCGGAACGCGTCGCTTTCGTACTGCAGCGGCGTTCCCGTCATCTTGACGATCTCGACCCAGTGACGGGGCTTGATACAGTCCTTGCTGAGCTCACGAACAAGCGGCAAGACATCCACAAAGTCGCTAATATCCTTGCGCAAGAGCCGGTAGGCTTCCCACTCGCAGAGCTTGCGCGGCATGCGCTTGCAGCGCTCGTCAAAGATCGCAATGCTGCTGCTCATGTCGTCGAGCGTTGATGGCACAGTACTCCAGAGCACGTTGCGATAGCCTTCCATGGTCTGGACAACGTCCATGTACAAGCCGTAGAGCTGGTCGAGGAGGGCCAGCTCCTTCCGCGTCTTGGTCAGCTCCGGGTACTCGGTCGGCCGCATGCCAAAAAGCTCTTCGCCCGCGGCGTACACCTCGAGCTTGCGGTCGCGCAGGGCGAGAAGCTCCTTGAAGCGGCCGAGGCGCTCGACCGCCTCGGACGGCTTGAGACCGCTCACCATTGGGCCGTTCGTGCTGTACTCGGCCCGGAACGAGATTGCGTCGGCTTGGAACTCCTTGACATCTTTTGTGAGCTGCTTCTTGAACTTGCCTTGGACTTCGCTGAGGTTGTCGGTGACCTCCTCGGCGTAGTCGACGAGCTTGCGCCACGTGGAGCGCACGACGCTCTTCTGGTCCATCTCTTCCTTGTCCATGTAGCCGCCCGGCAGAAAGTGCTCGAGCATGTCGTACATGTCCAAGATCGGGTTGATCTCCATCTCGATCGAGGACTCACGCTCGCGCACCTCTTTTAGAACCAGCATGACGTAGCGAAGCGAGTCGAGGGACTCGACGTCCCGGTTGAGCTTGGTCGTTGTCAGTCGAATGTAGTCGGAGAGGTTCGTGAGCGCCGACCGCGCCTGCTGGTGCACGCGGTCCGAGTACTGCACTTTCCACTGCCGGCACTCGTTGCGGAGCTGGAGCTTGAGGTTTTTCGTGTTGAGCGAGAGCGCGGCAATGTTGTGCACGGGCGCAATCGCGTTGATTTCGGCCTCGACCACCATAAAGTTCTTGAGCTCGTTCTCAAAGTCCTATAGCATAAGTTTGAAATGGAGTTGGAGGCGACGCCGTCGAACCTGAATGGACGGATTGCGTTTGATAAATTGATTGTACCGAAACTCCATGTCCTCCTTCCAGAGCCAGTCGTACTTTTAAACGCGCTGAGGTACTCGTGGACCTGGTTCTTGGTGCCGTGGAGAGCGCCCGTGAGCAAGAGTGCGACTTTGATGATCTCCGTGTCGCAGCCCAGCCGGTCAAAGAACGTGACGCGCGAACTCTCAGGGAAGACATCTTGCTGCCCCCACGTGTAGAGCGACTTGGAGCACTTGAGGACGACGACTGCGGACCGGTTGATGGCGCGCTGAATGTCCTCGAGGCTCGGACTCAACCGGACACTTGGGACGCTCAATTGAACGTCGACTTCAAAGAAAGGTCGCTCGAGGAAGAGGAAGCCCGTGCCGGCTTTAGAGCACACGCGCTTCTTGATTGCGTTGAGTGAGTTCTTGGTGCAATTCAAAAGCGCGCGGTACAGCAGCGTCTTGTAGTGGCTCCGAAAGGCGTGCTGGGCGTCCACGTCGACAACGACTTGCGTTGGCAACGCGCTCGTCGAGAGAAGCCTCATTTTCGGATCCGGCGCGTCGACGGTAAAGTCCGCAATGAGCCGGAGGACGTCGTCGACGGCGTTTTCGATTTCTGTGTTTTTGGCCGCGAGCATGCTCGTGGCAGCAGCCACGTGCTTCTCCTGCATCCGCACAAAGTCGTCGAGTGCAAACGATTGGTCCGTTGGAAGGCACACGAGCACCGCTTTCGAGACGACCTAGACGCATTTGGTGCCATGCTGCATTGATAGACTGATACTTTGAGATTTTTCTCGACGCGGTTTTCAATCATGTCGTTGACGCTGTGGATGAGCTCTTCGAGCCGCTGGAGACCGAGGTGGACTTGGAGCTTGTACGCGTCAATGTTCATGCTCGTCCACGTGAGCGTGACCATGCCCGGCCGGAGCTTGGCTTGGATATCTTCCAGATGGGGCTTGAGGAGCGTCGCGGTCATGGGGATGATGCGTGCAATCACTCGGTCGTACTCGCGCAGCGTGTATGTGAGTTCGTTGAAGTAGTTTTTGAACTTGTCTTCTTGGAGCATGACCATCTTGGCGTTCTCGGGAATGTCAATCCCCATCCGATCCAAACACTTGGCTTCGCGAATGAGCTGGAGAATCTCTTTGTCAAAGTTGACGTAGAGCTTGGTGGTCTCAGGGTGGCGGATGATGAGAGTCGCGTGGAGGCCGCCTTTGGCCGTGTCGATGGACCGGCACCACGCTTCGTACCAGAGGTACTCGAACGCGACGAGCGTCCGCGCGACCTTGTTGTACGTCTTGATGACTTTTTTCGAGTCTTTGGTCGCGAGCACGCTCGGATTGCTCTCAAACTTGCGCATCGGTTCTTCGATGCGTCGCAGGAGGTGCCGGGACCAGAGAATGTTGCCCGCGACCGGTGGCAAGTTGCGCGCAATCGGCGGGTCGTGCCGGTGCTTTTCGTAAATCTCTTGGACCGTCGTGAGGTCGAGACCGTAATTGTGGAAAATGACGGTAAATTTCGAGTCGAGGTCGTTGCGCAGATTCTCACGCTGGAGAATCGTTTGGAACTGCTTGAGTAAATTGAGCGACTGTTCGATGCTCGTGATCGACTCGAAGCTCTGGTTGATAAAGTGCTGGAACGAGAGCTCGAGGTCCGAGATGCGCACGTTAAAGTCCACATAGTCGCGGTCAAACTTGTTGTTGTGGAAGTCCAACAGGTCGTGCTTCTGGCTCTTGAACTCGGTGATGATCGTCTCGAACGTCGCAATGAGCGATCCCATGCCCTCGAGCGAGTGCTCGGCGAGCGACTGGAACTGGTGGATCGTCGAAAACATGTCAATGAGCCGGATAACGCGCCGGCAAAAAAGGTCAAACTTGCCAAAGATCTGCGTCTCGCTAAAGTCAAACTGCTTGCCTTTCGGCATCGTGAGCAGCTTGTCCTTTGTGAGCCGGTACTGCTCTTGGTACGCTTCGTTGAGGCGGAGGCACGTCTCGAGGTTCTCTAAAAGGACTTCGGGCGTCTTGGTCCAAATGTACTCGGGCGGGTCGGTCCCGACGATCGTGCTCTTGCACAGCACGATCATCTGGTTGGTGATCTTCATGAAGAGCTTGGTCATGCGCTCCGTCGTGTTGTAGTAGCGGGCGATCGTGTGGATCATCTTGACGGCGTTCATGAGCGCGGGGAGCGCATCAATGACGCTGCTGGGGGACCCGATGTAGAGCGGCTCGATGAACTTCTCGAGCGTAGCGAGGTACTTGACGTTGTCCTTGGCTTCGTTCGTCGCCTCGGTGATGTTGATATCGATCTGCTTCCACTGTCGCAGCAGCGAAAAGACACTTTGCTTGTCCAAACTGCTCTCGTGCTGCTTGGTCACGATCGTCAAGACACCAATGACCATCTTGCACTCCTTGGTCTTGAGCTGCTCGGTGATGCCCGTGAGCCGCTGGAGCCGGCCTTTCCAGTACTCGAGCTCCGTGTCTGGCCCCGACTCGCTCGACTCCCACCGCGTCTGGTCGCTGTCGTCCAAGTACGCTTCTGTCTGCCGGCACCAGTCTTGCACGAGGTCCACAAAGTGCACGACCGCACACTCGTCGTTGGCAAAGCGCGAGAGGTTGCGCGAGTCGTTCGGGTCGTAGCGCTTGTCGGGTTTTCGGAGCTCGAGGCCCGCGCTCATGGTCTTTAAACTGCCTTGGACGTCCGTGATGAAGGCCTTCATGCCATGAAGGAACTCGTTCTTGCACTCGACGTCGGCTTGGCCCCATTCGCTCTCGTCGCGGGCGTGAAGCAGCGGCAGATACAGCTGGGAGAAGAGCGCTTCCATGGTGACAAGCACCGACTTGTCGAGGACACCAAACTCGAGCATGCCGTCGGTCGCTGTCGCAGGGTTGATGGTCGTGAGCAGTGCAATGTCATCGGAGAGCGCTGATGCGGCCGAGATGCTTGTGCGGGGTAGCCGCACGATCGAGGGCTTCGGCGGCTTGTGCTTCTTCAAGAAATAGACAGCGCGCGCGAGGAGCGGCTCGGTCTCGCCGTCGGTGATGAAGAGCTCGGGCGCTCTCAATGCATCTCGGTCGTCTTTGGGGCTGGACGCGTCGGAGGCGTTGTCCGAGACGCGCGAGTCGCCGTCGACGACGTCGTACTGCCGGACTTGGTAGTAGAAGAAGATTTTGGACGGGCCCGACGGCGAGAAGAAGACCGAGAGCGTCTCCATGATGTTGTTCACCTTCATGAGCTCCTCGACCTCGCCCTCATCGCGGAAGCCAAGGCAGAGGTGGAGCTTCTGGATGATCCAGCGGTGCCGGGCTTGGAACGCCATCGAGCGAGTTGACCCTTGATGCGATTCGTCGAAACAAATGTGCAATCTCGATTGGGATTGGCTAAAATTAATCCTCGGCTTCGGATTGGTCGAGCGAACCGACACGATCTTCCGCCACACCTTTCGGTTTTACTCGTTTAACGCACGCACCATCGTCAACTCGATTCTAGGTGACGGGCTTGGGCACGTCAGCGTTGATGGTATCCCAGTACATCTGCAGCGAGATTGAATTGTCGCCATGCGTGTCGAGCGTCCTAAGGCGCTTCTCGAGTTCCACGGTAGCACTTCGCCGAAGACGGCGCTTGCAGAGCTCGTCGACTACACAAGTAACATGAGCGCCATTGCACGGCGGGAGATAAGTACGTGAGACGCGGTGTGGCGTTGCGCTCGGGTCGCAAGAGAGGAACTCGACCAGCGGAATCAATTGGCACGGTTCAAGACCGTGCTTGTCCCGACTGCAGCGTTCGAGCATGGCAGAAAACTCAGCAAACGAGATGCGTCCGTCCATGTCTTCGTCGACCTCCCAGATCACGCGCTCGATTTCGGCCTACGATGCACAGTAGGCTTCGTCATATCGGCGTTGTTATATCACTTTGGTCAAGGCCAGCTGCAGCTCCTTGCACACGATTGCAAGCCCTGCCGTCGAAATAGCTCCGGAAGGGGTCACCGACATCGCAACAAGCTCGCCTCGAAGGCGGTTTATCTCCTCGTGGCGCTTTGTCTCGCCATCGGCGGCGTTCGTATCGTGGTGCGTCGCCTGGGCGCCGTCAGCTTCGAGCCGTTGGAGCTTCTGGCGGAGCGGCGCCGTCGCGAGGACGTTGAAAACACGGACTGTCTCGTCGCTCAAAGGGCCACCGAGACGACGTTGTCCATGAGGCACCACCGCATGGGGCATCTGTGCAAATCGTCACTTGATAAACACTGGTAACAGTTCAGAACCTTCTGGTGACACCAGCCCACTGGCCGTCTCTGCAGTGGGCAAAATAAACCCGCGGCTAAAAACGGTCTCATTGGCCAAGTGCAGAAAAAGCAGGCATTTCGCAACGCAAAACACAAAAGGACGGCGTCCAAGGTGTCGTTGAACCGAAATAACGCGACGCATCGTACGTCTGCCCGACGATGCAGCGGCCAAAGCGGCGCGCCTGGAGAAGAATTGACGCGTCTATGCCAACGAGGACGAGCCCGCGAACCCCGCGCGCCAGGCGAGCGACTGCAAGAGCCATGCGATAGTGCGCGCCAACGAAGATGAAGCAGCCAAGACAGCGCGCTTCGAGAAAGAGCAATCCGCGCCGCTGCGCTCAAGGGCACGAATACCGTACTTGAAGAGGGCGAGTGGCTCGCATTCTCCTCAAGGACTGCGAAATTGATGAGTTCTTGGGCCACAACCTCGAAAGCTGCAAAACGTTCCTGCCATCTGTCCTTTGGTTGAAGTAGTACGTCTACTGCAATGGCACGATCGATCCGCGGCTGCGTAGCCATCGATATTTGTGGGCTCCACGTACAGAAAACAAGTTGTGAATCAAAGTATTTTGTGAAAACCAAAGCAGTCATCTATGCCTTGCTTCCACCGGCACGTTTTCGGTCGACGTAATTAATGGATCTTGACGGTATCGTTTGAGGGACGCCCCGCTTGCCCCTATTGCAAGGATCCATTCCCTGCAATTTGAGGACACTTGTTTTGAGCGAATCCATCCAAGGCGATTATTCGTGGGCCGGGTATGAATGAAACATGCAATTTTTACAGAGTTCGATACGCTGTAGCCGCTAGTGCCCAAGGCGGTGCAGCTGAGCCTCAAGGTCCCGGATTTCTTTCATGAGCTCTTGGGTGCGTCGGTAGAGTGCGCTTGTCGAGAGCCCTTCGATAGTGGTTTGCAGCTCACGGTTCGTTGTCGCGTTGGCTTCTTGGGCGGCTTCGGCCGCGACCGCCCGCGTCTCGAGCGCCTTCATGTCGCTCTTGGCCTGTGTCTGCTGTGTCTGCAGCGACGCTTCCAAAGCGGCTACGCGCGATGCGAGGTTCGTCGTCTCCTCCTGGAGCTTCGTCTTGGCCTCTGCGAGAGCCGACTTGTCCGACGAGTGCGCGTTGACGCTGGCCGAGAGATCGCTGATGGTCGACATGAGCTTCAAAATCTTGCTCTCAAGGCGCAGCTCGTTCGATGCGGCGCGGGCTGCTGCGTCGTCGGCTTGCGCTTTCAGCGCCTCGTTAGCCTTGCGTTCTGCCTCGAGCTCTGCGGCCGCGACCAGGTCGGGCGGTGCTGGTGGTTCACCGAGACCCACCTCAATGTCGCTGTCAAAGTCCGTGTCCTCCATCAGC